AGGCTCCATGGGAAAAGCCGTCTTCAGCCCCGGTGTCGACAAGACGTCTGGACCATATGTACAGAGTCCAGGAGACAGGTGCCGAATTTTTATTTTCCCACCCTCAACCAAATTCGGTAGTCATAACATCCTCATCCAAGTCTAAACGAATGCACTCGGCACCCTCTGACAGGGAAAGTAGGAAATTAGACGTATTCGGGAGATGCTTCTACGCCACGGGTGCATTAGGGGTCAAAACCACTAACTACCTAGCCTGCATGAGCAGATATCAATATACTCTGTGGGAAAGACTCTCCGACCTCCTAACCCACCTCCTTTAAGACAAGCTTCAAGCGGCCAGGGTTATTCAAAAGGAAGGTATGGTCCTTGCGAAGCAGCAGCTCAACACATCCAAACATGCCTTAGATGCTTCCTCCAGAACAATGGCCTCAGCTATCGCTCTGAGGAGACACTCCTGGCTCCGCGATACCAATCTTCCTCAAGATACTAGGTCATGTCGAAGACCTCTCTTTTGATGGCCTCAGCCTTTTTAACAGCACAACCGATACCGTGCTCCAGGATATAGATAAGAGCATAAAGGCCTCTCACGCTCTAGGGGTGTCACCCTCCACGAGGCAACAATATTGTTCTCGCACCTGGTCTAGGTCCTGGCAGAGACGTACTCCAAATCGTCAGTCTCCGGATAGGCAATGGAGGCCACGTACAACTTCTGGTGGTCAAAGACCCGCCTTTCAGAAACCTAAGTTCGGAACTGGACAACGCACCAAACGCACCAAACAACCAAGGTCCTCCAAGCAGGGCTTTTGACTTCCCTCCTACCGAGTCAGTTCAAACACGTCTGTCACCCTTCCTTTATGCTTGGCGTCACATCACCTTGGACCAATGGGTGCTGTCCATTGTAAGTCAGGGCTACCGTATTCAATTCAACCAGAACCCCATCACTCCAGTAGTCATCACCATACCCCCTTCCCCACCTCTCCTAGAAGAGGTGTCCGTCCTACTGCAGAAGGAACCCATCAAGAGGGTACCACCACACCTCCAAGGGACGGGATTTTATTCTCGATACTTCACAGTCCCAAAGCGGGATGGAGGTGTTCGGCCCATTTTAGATCTGAGGGAGCTGAAGTGTTATGTCACCTACCACCGCTTCCGCATGGTGTCCTTGCAGCAGATTATGCCACTGCCCTGGAAAAACGTCTGGATGGCCACCCTTGACCTCCAAGACGCATGCTTCCACCTCACTATCCACCCTCCCACCGCCAATACCTGCGCTTCGCAATTGGTCAACACCATTACCAATATGCGGCCCTACCATTCAGCCTTTCAAGCACCCCAAGAGTCTTCACAAAGACTATGATTGTGGTGGCGGCCTTCCTCCGTCTCAAGGGCTCCTAGTGGCGTCCTCTAAAGACACTCTAGTCTCAAACATCAACGAGACAATGGTACTCTTGAAAGCTCTGGGCTTACAAGTCAATCTCCAGAAATCTCAATTGCAACCGGCCCAGCAGATACAATACATCGATGCCCTACTGGATTCCAAGACATGCATGGCTTACCTGCCCCCAAACAGGGCGGCAGATATTGTCCACTTAGCCACCGTCGTTCATACCCAACCCTTGGTCATGGCCTTTCAGATACAGAGGCTACTCAACCTTATGGCCGAGACTACATCAGTCCTGGTCTTCGCAAAACTAAAAATGCGACACCTACAACTGTGGTTCATTCGCAACTTCGATACCTCGAAGAATGTACATGCCACCGTCCTAACCCCCCCCCCAACATACGAGAGCCCCTACTTTGGTGGACTGTCCTCTCCAATCTTTTCCAAGGAGCACCCTTCCTTCCACCGTCTCTCCCTTATTCTCTGGCATGCCCTGGAAGCGAAGGATCATATTAGCCTTTTCCATTTGTAATTGGAACAACTGATCTTCCGTGGAGCTTTGTTTCCTTTCCAATTTTTGCACTTTTTTCTTCACCATTTGGGTTGTTGCCTCCACTTCATTCACCTTCTCAGTATTTTGTTTCATCATTTGCAATGTCTCATTTATCTGATTTTGCTGAGAGGTGATACATTGAGTCATTGTTGACATTTGTTCCTTGAAGTTATTCAGCTGTTCCAGCAGGGGGCGCATGGATTCTGCTATGGTCTTAGCCAACTCACTGGTAACTTCTGGTTTCGGGCTTTCAGTCCCTTTCGGTTTCAAAAGTTTTTCTTTGTCTTGCTTCCCCACCATCTTTATCGTTTGTTTACTTTCGCAATTTTTAAAAAAGTCTCTGAATGTGCGCTTAAACACTTAAATTCGCTTTGTTAAGTACTTCTAGTTTCTTTGGCGTTTTCTTCCGCTTCCCCCCTCAAACGCTCATAAATTTATGTGCATGGGAGGCGTCCCTCCCCCGCTTGCCTTTTTCCCGTTCAGTGGGGTGGGGTGGGGAGCTATCTTTTTCCTTTGCAAACGGTTTCAAAACTGACTCACGTTCATAATTGGTCTTCCAACCTCGTTTTCGGCTTCATTTCTGCTGCTCGATCTCCTACGCTTGCCCCGGTCAGCGTCACTTAAGTCCATTCGGTCTCTCAGCACGGAGAACCGTCAGAACGAAGAGGCGCCTCAATTCTCCGGCATTCCACGATCAAAGAGGCAACCTCTTATAAGTTCCATGGCCAGGGTCCCTTCGCAGGGTCCCTGGGGGGTTTAACGAGCCTGCGCACCCCCTCGTTCGGCTGGAGCGCAGCTTCACCCCGGGAGGTGTGTCTGCTAGCGCGCCACCATCAACCGGAAGTCCCATTATTGTATGAACTTCTGTATAAACTGAACAAAAGGCTCCTAAGTAAGCTCAAAAAGCATGGGATAAAAGGACGATTCCTTTTGTGGATCAAAAACTGGCTAATTAATAGAAAACAGAGTGAGTATAAATGGGAAATTTTCTCAGTGGAGGGTGGTAAGCAGTGGGGTACCGCAGGGATCAGTACTTGGTCCAATGCTTTTTAACTTATTCATTAATGATTTGGAGTTGGGAGTAAGCAGTGAAGTGGCTAAATTTGCAGATGGTACAAAGTTGTTCAGGGTGGTGAAAACCAGTGAGGATTGTGAGGCACTCCAGAGGGATCTGTCAAGGACGGGCAAGTGAGCGTCAACATGGCAAATGGGGTTCAATGTGGCCATGTGCAAGGTGATGCACATTGGAGCCAAAAATCCTAACTATAAATACACATTTATGGAGTCTGAACTGGCAGAGACTGATCAAGAGTTGTAGTAGATAACTCACTGAAAATGTCGAGACAGTGTGTGACTGCAGTAAAAAAGGCCAATGCTATGCTGGGGATTATTAGGAAGGGCAGTGAAAACAGATCAGCCCATATCATAATGCCCCTATATAAATCAATGGTGCAACCTCATTTGGAATAGTGTGTGCAGTTCTGGTCACCACACCTTAAAAAGGATATTACAGCTTTGGAAAAAGTGCAGAAAAGGGCAACTCGAATGATAAAAGGGTTGGAACACTTTCCCTATGAGGAAAGGTTAAAACGCTTAGGGCTTCTTTAGTTTGGAGAAACAACGACTGAGGGGTGACATGTTTGAGGTTTATAAGATTATGCATGGGATAGAGCAGGTAGAGAAAGAGGTACTTTTCTCCCTTTCTCACAATACAAGAACTCGTGGGCACTCAATGAAATTGCTGAGCGGTCGGGTTAGAATGGATAAGAGGAAGTACTTCTTCACCCAAAGAGTGATTAACACTTGGAATTCACTGCCACAGGAAGTGGTGGCGGCTACAAGCATGGACGGCTTCAAAAGGGAATTAGATAAGCATATGGAGCAGAGGTCCATCAGTGGCTATTAGCCACAAGGTATAGATAGGGACTCTGGGGCAAGTGATGCTCTGTCTTCTTGGTGCTTGGGGGGGGGTCAACGGTGGGAGGGCTTCTAGTTTCCTGGCCCCACTGGTAGACCTCCTGATGGCACGTGGTATTTTTGGCCACTGTGTGACAGAGTCTTGGCCTGAATGGGCCATTGGCCTGATCCAACATTGGTGTCTCTTATGTTCTTAAGAGTGTTTTTTTGTTTCTCCAACTGCAACCTCCTGTGCCAGTTTCAAGGATTTCCCAGATCTCAAGGATAGCTTGTAGGGAGAAAAGCTGATGAGGGCTCCATTGAGAAGGGAGATATAGCAAAAGATTCCACTCGTAGTTCATAGGATTCAAGTGTTGATAAAAAAAAATTGCTTACAATGTTTATCCTCTTGGTAACTTCTGCTAACAATGGCCACAGTCAGTTCTTGTGGGACATGCTTGGTGCAGCGTGCACTTTGGCCATATACCACCACTGCCACCACTTCCATCAACGGTGGCAACACCATCAAGATCGGAAATTGCCCTTGTAGCCTAACGGCAAGGAGAACTGCGCTGGAACGAAAGCATCGGGCTGGCTCGAACCACCTATTTGACAGTGGTACCAAAATGGGGCTGCCGGAAGACACCATGATAACAACTGAGACCATCTTGACAATGCAAGCACTTTATTGTGGGTAGTAATGTTGAAGCACTTTTATTGTTATTTATTGTTATTACTATTATTGTTATATTTGTGATTTTACTGTTTTACTGGTTTTTATGCTGAGCTTGTGCCCCCTGTAAGCCGCACTGAGCCTGCTTGCGGGGAGGGCGGGGTAAAAATGCTCTAAATAAATAAATAAATAAATAAATAAATAAATAAATATAAGGCATACTTTTTATTGCTGAATGCTTGCATATTCAAGTTTTAATTAATTGTTCATTTTTATAGAAAATAATTGGTAATAAATAGAATTTATACCTGCAGTTATAAAAATAATAAAAGATAAGCTGTCCTGACATAGACCAAAAAAACAAAATAAGATTAATTGATTACTAGCAGTATGACACCTAGCTCATGCAGTGTGTCGGGCATCATTAAATATGATAGCAGAAGGTACTGATTATGAAAGCTGCACAAGTATTGACATTTTTATCCTTTTTCAAACAGGTGGAAGTCCATTGGACAGTCCCAGAAATTTCTCCCCAAATGCACCTTCTCACTTTTCCTTTGTTCCTGCCCGTAGGTATGTTTGCACATTTTTGTTCTGATTAGTGTGTCAAGGCTATGAGGGATCCTTCACAGTTTTGAGGTTTTAAATTTATTTGGCCTTGTGGTGCATGACTGACTTAGTAATTCTGAAGAAATCTTAAGTTATCTCTTGTCCAGAATTTGTGACATGATAAACAAATGCACTTGATTCTGCCACCTGATTCTGCTTGCTTATCTGTAAGCACATAAATTTTAGATTTCTGTACCCTTGTCTGAAAGTATAAGACAAAGAAATGTAGAAACTGGATTTTAAATTTGCTCTCTGTTGTGCTTATGTTGGGAATGTGTGGGGAGAGGATTAACATATGAGGATAGAGACTTTTGTCTGAACTTGCCCATCTTGACTGGTGGGCGTTAGCTTCTATTCTGACCCAGCCCAATCTCTGAGCAAGTCTGGAGGAAATAAACTGTCAGCAAATAGAGGTCCAGTTCAGGTAGGTCTCCATACCTTTAGGTAGGGGTTGGTAATCCCTGACATGCATGATGAAGAGTGCCATGTCAGACAGTTTAGCTCAGTATGCAAGATGTCCTCTGTTCAAAGTAAGTTACTGAGGCACTGGCAGTGCTGCTGGGACAGCTTGCTCTCAGTGTGTTTGGCCAAGTACAGTCTTTTATCTTCCCACCCCTCCAGTATGCCAGTCCACAAACATCTTCACAAATAAATGTAGATTTTTTTTGGCACTTGGGCCAAGTGGATTGCTTTCCCCTTAGCCTTCCCCATTGAGAAGTGGCTGAACCCCATTCCATTTGCTGGGCTCTTTTGGGGTGCCCAAACACATTCATGTAGACCGCCCAAAGCATAAGTGCCATGGGAGGCAGGCAGCTCCTATGACAGTTAGTCTGGCACTGCCACCAAACCAAAGTTAACAAACCACTTTTCTTTCTTCTAAGTACTATACAAGGAGCTGCGGTGGCTCAAGTGGTTAAGATGCTGAACTGCAGGCTGTGGAAGGTCAGTAGTTCAGCAGTTCGAGACCCGGGTGCCGCATGATGGAGTGAGCTCCCATCTCTAGTTCCAGCTCCTGCCAACCTAGCAGTTAGAAAGCAAGAAATTGCAAGTAGATAAATAGGTACCACTTTGGTGGGAAGGTAACAGCGTTCCGTGTGCCTTGGTGTTTAGTCATGCCGGCCACATGACCACAGAAACGTCTTCGGACAGCGCTGGCTCTTCGGCTTTGAAACGAAGATGAGCACCGCAACCCTAGAGTCGGATTCAACTGGCTTTCGAGCAAGGGAACCTTTACCTTTACTAAGTACTATACACCTAGAACTATTCTGGTCTGAAATGCAAATGTCAGGGTCTCCCATGTGGTACATGTGGTGCATGTAGTCAAGGAAACATCTTTTGCTTGTTTACCTTCCTTTCCTTGCTGTCTCTATCTTCTTTGACACTCTTATGCTCTTCTACTCATACTGGTCCAATGTGGAAGCTGCTATAATGTACGTAGAATTATACAGTGTCTGAGAGTATTTGCAACAAAAACACAGGAAGGTTAATTATACATTCTTCATGATAGTGCAAGAGATGCCTGAAGGAATGTATGCTTTCTGTGTTTGGTTTCATCAAATAGACTTAATAAGAAGTTGGACTAGTGAATAGCTTAAACTTGCCCTTACTGAGCAATTAAAATATTTACTTTCGCAATTGATTAGTGTATTATTATAGTATTTCAAAAATCTAACCATTATATTGAGCTCTTACTGTGTTGGCATATTTAGTCAACAAATAAGAAAAAAGTAGTAATGTTGTTCTTCATTCCCTATATTAGCATCATCTGAGTTCTACAGGCCCTCTGCTAATGAGACAATATTTTGTCATGAATCCTCCACAGTCTTGTGAGTCATTAATGGCCACAGGCATAGGCTGGAACTGTATGTTAGGTTAAATGTATTTCTTATTTTCAGTGAATTGCTCTCCAAGACAGTTTATAATGGATTAAAATATAGGAAACAAGACTTTAGCTGGAACTGGCTGATTTCTTGTTAGAGCGTTCAGAGTTTCCAGGACATATAATGATAAAATCTCTTTGTGGCTCTCTGCTGTATCTGCCAATGTTGCTGAACCTATTGGGCTACACTGAGTCCAGGGAACCTCCCTTTCCAAGAGATGTGCCTCCCAAACCAGCTATTGAACAATTAATGCCTGGCTTCATCTTTGTAACATGTAGAACAGCTTGCTAGTATTCTGATGTCATGGTGTGTTCTCCTGCCCCTGTCCCTCATCATTACTTGCACTTAGGGTTGCCAGGCTCCTACCTTTTGCCAGCGGGAGGATGGAGGCTCCCTTCCTGGATGTTCTGGTGCATGCTTGGGGGATGCTCTATCATTTGGCGGTGACGTGCCCAGCATGATGATGTCACCTCTCTGTGACACTGGGGAGCTCTTGAGGGGCAGCCCCCCCCGCCAGCAACTGGCCAGTGGGCAGATCGGAGGGCTGGAAATCGGGGGAACCCTGCCCCTATTGGGGGATGGCAACCCTACTTGCACTGGAGGGAAGAAAAAGTACGACACCAAAATGTCATAACTATAGATGTTGTCCATTTTTTAATCCCTGCTAGTTGTACTTTATATATTTATTTATTTATTTTATTATATTTATATCCTGCCCTCCCCTTGACAGGCTCAGGGCGGCTCACAGTTACCGACACAATGTGCCCGGTCAGCATAAAACATTTAAAAACAAGCTAAAATCTTACAAACAGCTCAAGTGCTCGCAGTTGACATTCTTCAGTAGATTAAAATGGTGTTCTATTAGATGTAGTCTTGCAATCCCAGCTCAGCGGTATATCGGTCTCCCGCAACACTGTGGCTTGATCTCAGTTCAGGGCCATCCCACCACCGCAGATGTTAGTGATGGTAATAGTTGGTGGTAGTGGTGGGCGGCTCCTAGTTGTAAGCCTGGTGGAAGAGCTCTGTCTTGCAGGCCCTGCGGAACTGTACAAGGTCCCGCAGGGCCCTGATCTCCTCAGGGAGCTCATTCCACCAGTGAGGAGCCGCCACTAAAAAGGCCCTGGCCCTAGTAGCAGTGAGCCTGGCATCCTTAAGGCCTGGAATAATTAGTCGATATTGTGACCCCAACTGTAGTGCTCTCTGGGGTATGTATGGGGAAAGGCGGTCCCTCAGGTATGTTGGACCCTGGCCATATAGGGCTTTAAAGGTAAGTACCAGCACCTTGAAGCGAATTTGGTATGCTATTGGCAGCCAGTGCAGTGCCTTCAGTGCAGGCCGGATATGCTCCCATCTATGGAGGCCCATCAAAAGCCTGGTCGCGGCATTCTGCACCAGCTGCAGCTTCTGGATTTGTGACAAGGGCAGCCCCATGTAGAAAGCGTTACAGTAGTATAATCTTGAGGTGACCATCGCATGAATCACTGTAGCCAGGTCGTTGCAGTCGAGAAAGGGGACCAACTGCCGTATCAGCCGGAGATGGTAAAAGGCGACTTGGCAGTGGCTGCCACCTGGGCCTCCATTGTTAAGGAGGGATCCAGGAGCACTCCCAAATTCCTAACCTCTGGCACTGGCACCAGTGGTGCCCCGTTGAAGGCTGGGAGTCGGATCCCCATCCCTGAACCGCCCCGATTCAGGCACAGGACTGCCGTCTTCGCTGGGTTTAGCGTCAGCCAACTCAACCTAAGCCAACCAGCCATGGCTTGTAACGCCCGGTCCAGATCTTCTGGGGCAGAGTCCGACAGGCAACCCAACATCAGATAGAGCTGGGCGTCATCAGCGTACTGGTGACACCCGAGCCCATACCTCCGACCATGGAGAAAGGAAGCAAGGCACTGCATGGCAAGCCCCCGTATCCCCATGTTAAAATCCCAGTTTTGATTTTGCTTCTCCCCTGTAAGAATTGACCCTGAGAGTGTTTATTTTTACACTTATTTTTTATTTCCTCAAGTCAAAATTTTCCTGTAATATGTACTCACATTTCAGCCTTATTTGAACATCAGCTGCATATGAAAATGAGTTGACTAATGCCATGTATAATGAAAACACAAAAATGAAAAGAAACAAACCGTATGTTTGCCTATGCCTAGTCACTTTATGAATAGTTGTTTTAAACATTATAGTGGGATGGCGAGAATTAAATACTTGACTGCTGTTGACAAGGCAGCATCTGTGGAAGCAGCCTTTGGGAGAAGAGTCTTGTAGCATACCTTTTCAGGCTAAAGAGCCAAAGATTTTGTTACCCTTGCAGGATATGTCCCATGTGTCTCAGACTGCCCCACCCTGGACCACTGGGGAATGGAAAATTTGTCTCACTTACTATGAATCTTCCTTCTTGGTGGTCCAGGGGTGGGGCAGTCTCTTCTCACCCAAGGTGAGACATCAGTATACTGTTTTGAACTAGTGGTTTCTTCTCCTCATAGCATTCTCTTCCTTGTCAGCCTTTTTTAGTGCTTTTCACCCTGTTATGCATGGTGTTTTGTTATTTGTCCATTGGTTGGTGGTTTTCTAACTGTGGCTATGCCACTGAGTGGGAGCTGAACTGCTTTAGAATTAGCCTAGGGCCTGGGAGAGAAGCCCTTCCCCTCAGGAATTGAAAGATCAGCAACCCTACCAGCCTCCAGGAAGGAGCTTCTTCCCACATGGCTCAGATTGCCCCACCCCAGGACCATTGAGAGGGAAGATTTATAGTAAGTGAGACAAATCTTCCATTCAAAGCCCTAAACAGCCTGGTCCTTGTGTACCTTATCCCATGTATTCCTCCCCAACCCCTGAACTTGACAGAGGAGGCTGTGCTCTGGATCCCTATTGTTTTGTTAGTAAGATTGATGAGGACAGATGGAAGAAGGAGAAGAGGCTATTGGTTTCCTTTGTTCTCCTCAGTGTTGCCCTTGACCTGGGTCCTGTGACCTTGGGAATCAACTTTCATGAGGTCAGAGGGGACTGCTGGTAAGAGGGCAATGCAGCAAAGATCTGCCAACACCTTTCACTAATGGGTTGCTGGATCCAACTATATGTTTGAAATGCACTTTTATAACCCACTTGAGTTCAGTTTGCTGCAGAAATTATTTTGTAACAATTCTTAATCCTTATTAATCAGTTGCTTCTCAAAACACTGTATTTCAGTGGTTTCAGAATTCATGCAGCATAAATAAATGGTGCATTATTTTCCAGCAGAATGAAAGGGAAATAATGCCAGGTGATAAATGTCTGTTTTATTATCATACAAAGTCCCTAGGTGTTTTGCTGTGCAGGCTTTGTCAGAGATCAGAAAACTCACCTAGAGTTGGACCTGTCCACAGCAATTAAATCCTTTTACAAATTATTCCAACTATAGAAGAATAAACGTTTGCTAAGTTCAGGAAAAAAATACTTGAATAATTTGATTTGAGAAGATGTTTATAATATTTTTTCCTCCTGGTATTTATCATTGATACTGTGTCTTTTTTATATATAGCCATGGACACAGGGCAGACAGGTAACACTATAGCAGATATATATTGTGTTGTGTGTAAAATGGATGTTTTTGCATGATATTTTAGTCTGCTTCATTCCTAGTGAGCTTATGTGTTGTCATCATAGCCCCATTTAGGCATCCAGAGATAACATTTATTAATTAAATTGAGGGATTTCTGCTTTTTAATATTTAATAGGAAAATATGGGGGGGGGGGCCCTATAAGGCCTGAGGAGAACTTGGGGTCTTTTTTACTGTTGGTAGTGTGAGCATTATAAACCAGCTCACACACCACCACCACCACTGATTGTGAGAAACCATTGCAAGCAGTGAGAAGGGGCTTCTTAAAATCTCAAGTTCCCCCTATTTTCCCACTGAAGTTCAGCTAAAGAGCTGAATCAGCCTGCCATAAAAAGTAGCCACCTTCATGCAAGAAGCCTGTTGTAAAAAGTAGCCCCTAAAGTTAGAAAATCCTGTTATGGCATTTATTTGTCATATGAAATGCCATTCAAAATGCCTTCAATTCTGGAAATCCTCACAATCTCTTTGAAATGTACAAACACCAGGAAAACCCCCACTGTTGTGCAGTAATGTTCAAATATTTTTAAATGTATCAAATCTAGAAAATTGTCCTATATTTTTTCATTTTGGTGATATTGGTTTTATTTGAAAGGTCTAATAGAGCTGTTCACTGTAAACCAAACAGCAATTTAATGTACAGAATGTTTGACATATTAGGGGTAATACACAATCAATATACTGGCGGCATATGAAGACCCTTATATTAAAATCTGCCTACATGGGGTTTTAACTGCAGCATGCATTTTGTAACTGCAGCATAAATATTTGTGATCTTGTGCATGAAGCATGAAGGTTGTGTTTATTAAATACTGATGGTGTTTCTTCCCCTAGTCCTAGGAGGTAGGTTGTGCTAGAAATGTAAAGTGTCTTCCTGAATCTAATAGATGGAGTAGGACTGTCGCTTACTCTGTTACACCTGCTTTTCTTTTGTGAGATCAAATAAATGAGGATAATTGTTCTCTCAGAAGTCTTGCAAAACATTAACTATATACTGCATTGCCATCATTCTTTGCTTTTAAGAGCAATATTCCAACCCATAAATTGTATTTCAAATGGCAGTCAGAACATTGCCATAATAGGCAAGCAAGATGTCAGAAATCTCCAAAAGCCAGTTCCATTCAGTGCCTTACCACTAATACCGCTTCATATTTAATGTAGTGCTGACGATAATTTATAATACTGGGCATTATTTTATTCCTCAAAGGCTGCATGCATAGACACTTTGAACTAACTAACTGAGATACTGAACCTGGCTTCCTTATTAAAGTTGAACAAAGTTTGAGTCCAGTGTGCACAGAAAGCTTATACCTTGAATAAAACTTCGTTGGTCCTAAAGGTGCCATTGGATTCAAACTTTGTTCTGCTGCTTCAGACCAAGGCAGGCTACCATCCTGAATCTTTGTTAAAGTTGAGTTGAGTATAAAAGTTTGAAAAACTATTGTTTGTCTACAAACCAGTTATAGTGTGGTGTGGGAAGAAGCTTGTGTTGATGTTGTAGACAGAGTCATGCAGTCTGCACAACTCATGCTGATCTCATGGTCACTGTTGTCTGCAGTGCAGACAAGCAGAGATTAGTATGAGCTGAAGACCTAAATGCAAATATTGGAATTACATATAACCTACAAAGCTTTTGTTCAAATAAACCCTAACTAATGTTCCCTCTAAGCTGTGTTAGTGTGAGCATACTCACAGTTTTTTAGCCTCCAGCTCACACATTTTTGTCTTACCTCAGGAAGGATGGTTCCAGAGCAAACTAATTTATGCAGAAGCCAAATCACTCGCTCACAATGCCAACAGCTCACAATGTAGGATTTTTACTCACAAGTCTCCACAGCTTAGAAGGGGTATTGAACTGTGTTATCTCATTAATTTAAATTAATTTCATAACCTCACATTGCAGAACAGTGTGTGTGGGGGGAAGTTACTCTTTAAAATATGCCTGTTTTGTTACACTAACTTTGTGGGCTTACTGAGCTAGACTATCTTGGAATTCCCATGAAGTACATATTTGTGAGAATTTAATGTATTAATTGTTGGTACGCACTTTGCTAAAATATGGCAGGCAATAAGTCTTTGTTTAGTAAATCATAGAATAACAGAATGTCAAATAACTGGAAGTTCATGGCCAGTTCAATTACCAAGAGGCGGTTGAAATGTTTACAATAGACTTCTTAGTCAATGAAATGTTTTGTGAATTTAAGAAACCTAGAAGAGTTTGTGCCATACCTGGTAATATCCATTCATGTGACTATAAGACTACCCCTGGCTGGCATTACAAGAGATTACATAATAAGAACATAAGAGAAGCCATGTTGGTAAACAACATCTGCTGGGTCACCCTTGTCCACATGTTTGTTCACCCCCTCAAAGAACTCTTAACAGGTTAGTGAGACAAGATCTTCCCTTGCAGAATCCGTGCTGATTCTTCCTCAATAGCTTTTGTTCATCAATTTGCCTACTAATTCTATCTTTAATAACGGATTCCACCCGCTTACCTGGTATCGACGATAGACTGACCAGCCTGTAATTTCCCAGGTCTCTTATGGGACTTTTAAAAAAAATGGAGTTACATTAGCTACCTTCTAGTCTTCAGGAATGGAGTCAGATTTAAATAATGGATTGCATATTTTTCTCAGGATATCTACAAGTTCACATTTGAGTTCTTTGAGAACTTTTGGATGTACGCCATCCGGGCCTGGTGATTTATCAGTTTTTAAGTTGTCTGTCAGTCGTAGGACCTCCTCCTCTCGTCACCTCAATCTGACTCAGGTCTTTCAGCACCTCTCCTGACATTGGCAGTTCTGGAGTGGACAAGCACTTCTCATCTTCCACAGTTATGACAGAGGCAAAAAATGCATTCGGCCTCTCCGCCATTTCCTTATCATGGTTTAGTCATCCTTTTACCCCTTGTCATCCACTGTCTCCATTGCTGGTTTTCTGCTACTAATGTATTTGAATAAATTTTTATTGTTGGTCTTTATGTTTTTTGCAGTATGTTCCTCATAGTCCCTTTTTGCCTGTCTGATCACCAACTTGCATTTTATTTGCTAAGGCCTGTGCTCCCTTTTATTTACCTCACTCGGACTAGCCTTCCACTACTTAAAGGAATCCTTCTTACCTTTTACTGCTTCCATTACATTGTTCGTTAACCATGCAGGCCTTTTTTTTATACCTATTTGTACCTTTCCTAAACTGTGTTATACATTTTATCTGAGCTTCCAGGATTATAGTTTTAAATAGTCTCCAAGCTTCTCAAAGGGATTTGACCATCCTTACCTTTCCTTTTAGGTTGTTCTTCACAATCCCCCTCATTTGACAAAAATTACCCCTTCTAAAGTTAAATGTGGTTGTATTGGTGTTTTTGGACAACTCCCTATTTACATAAATGCTAAACTTAATTAATAGCATTATGGTCACTGTTCCCAACTGGTGCTATCACGTTCACATCTCTCACCAGGTCTTGAGCATTACTTAGAACCAAGTCCAGGATTGCCTCCCCCCTGTGACCATCTGCTCCATGGCACAGTCATTGAGAGTGTCTAGAAACCCAATCTTTTTTCTCCTGACTTGAACACATATTGACCCAATCAATGTGTGGGTAGTTAAAAGCACTTATTACAACACAGTCATTTCATCTAGCTGCTTTCCTTAATTCTTTTGCTGGTTTTAAATCATCCTCAAGCTTTTGATCTGGTGGGCGATAACAAATTCTCAGAGTTTAGCTTCAGTTTGGGCACACTATATCCACCCATTGCATTTCTGTAAACAAATCTCTTTCCC